GGGGGGGGGGGGGAGCATGCCTCCAAGGAGATGAAGGCATAAGTGGGTGGTCAACGCCTGGGCACACAAGTTTTCCAAATCAGGGGTCAGAGCAGCAGACAAGGAGGACAGGTGATGTCCAAAACTGAGCTTGCCCTGTGTCCCCAACCACATCATGATCACTGGCTATTTTCTTGGCAGGCTGGGGAGGGGATGGCAGGCAGGTGGGTTGGGTGGCGTAGGCGCCCCAGCAGCCCCTTCCTCAGGAACAGCGCACACCCATGCACATGCACACACACGCCCCACGCGAGCATGCACTCAGCCTCTGGGAAAACGCCTGGTCTCCACCACCCCACTGCCTCCCCAACCCAACAGGAAGGAACCCCTCAAGTGAGGGCTGTGGAGGCCTCAGGCTAAACCAGGAGAGCCCAGAGCCCCTGACTCTCCTGCACTCCCCACCAACAGTGAACAGGGAGTCTCTAGCCAGGTGCCACAATGCCCCACTTCCTGTCATCCGAACTAGGGACAGGAAGGAAGGAAGCCCAGGTGAGGCCAGTGAGGAGGGGAGTGAGGGGAGTGGAGGTGTGTTTGGTTTCAGATCCCAGGGCCCGGGGCTGCCCAGGCATGGGGGGAGGTATGTGAAAGAGTTATATGGGGCCCTCAAAGGGAGAGGGATTTGGGTGTGCTCCTTCCTCCCAGGGCACTAACTGCAGCCAGGGGTGGTCACACCTGTGCCCTCCATCCTTTGAATGACCAGGATCCCTAGGAATAGAAGACAAGCCAGGAAGTAATGAGCAGGTGGGGCAGGTCTGGGCGCCCAGGACCCACTGACAGAGAGGTAAGCATGAGGGAAACCAAGCAGAGAAGGGACATCCTGACCCCACCCTCCTCCAGGCCACTCCAGGCCCCTGCCCTGCTCAGAGGGGGGGCTACTGGACACATGATTGAGGATGGGGGGCTTGCAAGCCCAGGATACACCCTGAGCCCACCCCAGCAGCTTCTGTAAACATACACAGCACTGCGGGCCCCCTTGGCTGGGGGTCACCCCAGGGGCTGGCCAGCAGGCACCAGATCTGGGGGGTGGCCAGCCTAGACCACAGATGAGAATGTATAGGGAGGGGGCCATTCTTCTTCTCAGCCCTGGGAGAGCAGCCAGAGGGCAGTGAAAGGGAGTCAGTATGCCCACTGCCTGTCCTGGAGTAGGGGGTGCCAGGATGCCTCTGGGGGGTGGTCAGGCTGGCAGGCTGCCCCAGGCTCTTCCCCACTCCCCACCCCTCCACTATCTGGAGGGCCCAGATACCAGCTGCCTTGGCTCTGGGGGTCCTAAGCTGAGGTAGGGATATGGACCCCCAGCTCAGCAGCAGTACCTCAAGCCTGAGGCTAAAGTGGCCCCTGGGGCCTCTCCTCAAAGCTGCCCGGCCCTGGGGGCAGCCACCTGGAGCCCGAGGGGCCACCTGCTCTGGAGCAGGCCTCCGCCGGCAGCTCCTGGGTGCTAGCGTGCTGAGATGACCAGGTCACCCTGCTTGGTGGGGCTGGCCCCGCGGCCAGTGGGGGTAGAAGTCCGGATCTTGTCCACAGCCAGGCACTCCTGGCTGCTGAGGCTCGTGGGCGTCAGGTCCATGAGTTCCCCCGAGGAGCTGAGTGGGAAGGAGGGTGACAGCGAGATGCCTGAGGAGGGGTCTGCTGAGCCAGCAAAGCGCCTCGGGGGCTTGGGCACCAGGTTGGGCTCGAACTGGGCACGGAGCAGGATCTCTTGCTGGCTGGGGGACTTGGGGCCCTCTGCGTAGTCGCTGGTGGGGCTCTCAGGTACCACCATGCAGTAGAGGTCCTGGAAGGAACTGCTCTTGCTGTCCAGGTTGAAGAGGCTGTCAATAAACTCTGCAAACTCCAGCACCTGAGGGCTGGGAGAATCCCCCAGGCGCCCGTTGTGCAGCGCCAGCTCTCTGCGGGGGGCTGCCCCACTACCCCCCTCTTCCTCCTGCTCATTGGCCACTACACTGGGGGGCCTCTCAGGAGTGGCGCCCCCGCTGCCTGGGGCCGCCTCCAGGGGCTGGGTGTCCTGTGAGTGCTTGGACAGGCTGTCGGCAGCCAGCAGCTCGGTGCGGGAGCTCAGGGACGGGTTTTCCTCTGGGATGGCAGGGTCGATATAGAAGAGGTGGCCCTCGTCGCGCTCCAGCACTGCGTGGAGGCTGGGTGAGCCTCGGATGCTGCGGAAGCCCGAGGATCGGCGTGAGTCAAAGCTGTACAGCGACTCCGTGTCCGAGAGGCTCTCCATGGTGGCCAGTGGCGCCCGCCGAGCCTGCAGCTCCGCCGCCAGCCGCTCCTGGGTGGACAGCAGCAGCAGCTCCACAGGGTCCTGGCGGGCCGCCGAGGCTGCAGCCACTGGGGACAGCAGCCGCCCCTCTGAGAAGCCCTCCAGGCTCATCTCAGACTGGGACTTGCTTCTGCAGAGGGCAGAACAGGGAGGGGGTGAGACTCGGGAGGGGCACAGAGACTGACCCCCCAGCTCCCTGGTTGGAGGAAACTTAGGGAAAGGATCGAAGGGAAAGTTCATTTAGGGGTTGTTAAACTGTTTGGGGCAGGGACCCTTTTTAAAAAAAACAAACAACTCACAAGAACCCAAGACAGAAAATAGACCAATGCTGGGTTGAGCTAGGGTGGGCACCCTGATAGCCTGAGGCCCTGGTGAAACAGTAGGGCTTTGGGAGACCTGCTGGGCTGCCTGCAAGGTGTTCTGAGCTCTGTCCCTGCCTCCCTCACACTGGAGTCCCCCCTGCCTTGCCCATGGAGTGTCACCCTCTGCTAGGCAGGAGCCCTGGAGCCTCTGAGCTGTACAACCGTCTGCAGGGAGCGAATGAAGGTTGGGGGAGCGGGGCGTGCAGCAGTTACAGTGGTGAGGAGGGACACAGGCTCCCTCATCTGGGCATGCAGCTGCCTCAGGAAATGCAAGGAAGGTAGGGAGAGATGTCCAAGTGCCCCTCAGAGGACCAGGAATCAGTCGGTCACCCTTGTCATCAGACTCTCGGCTATATGTGGGCCCTCTCTGGGCTCAGTACCTGGGCAGGACGGGTCTCAGAGAGGTAGAAAGATCCCCCGGTAAGAGCACGACCCCCCAAAGAGTGTGTGAATGTGGGAGGTGTCTGGGAGCATGTGTGCACAGTGTACACACTAGCTGTCTGCATGTCTCCAGCCCACGTGTGTCTGTGTGGCTGGGTTTGGGCGCAGGCGCATTCATTTGTCCCCATGCAGGCTGCTGTCGAAGCGTGTGCCCCTGTGTATCTCAGCCTCTGTCTTGGTGGGTACCCTGTACACGAGTGTGTCTGCATGGGGCTGTGTGCGCCAGGAGCTGCTTGGGAGGCACATACCTGCACGTCAGCTTCAATACAAATACACGGATACACACGCAGGCGTGGATGTGAGTGCAGGGCGTCTGTCTGTCTGGGTCTAAATGGGTCTGAGTGAATCTACGTTTGTGATGAGGGGTCTGTGTATCCTTAGATGCCCACTAGCCATGTGGGTTTCAGGGATGGCAGGCCGTGGGGGGGGGGTCAGTGGGGAGAGCAGGGCAGGGGAGAGCTGGAGAGAAGGGCAAATTCGCCCCTTCATGCATGTGTGTGCAGAGTCGTGTGAGCACTCAGGCTCTGTCTGTGCATGGGACACACATATGCACAAGCACACATGCTCTGAAACCACACTTGTAGCCACTGCACACACCCTCTGGGCCAGGAGGGCAGGACTCACCTGACGCTGCTGTTTCGGTGGTCTGCAGTGGGCAGCTCCAGGGCGAGGCCAGTGGGCACTGGGGGCCCCGTGGGCAGCGGCTGCTGCTGGAAGATGAGCTCGGGAGTGAGGTCCACCTCGGTGGGGCTCACCATGACCTTAGCAGCAGAGAGCAAGGCTGTCTTCCCCTTGTTGTAGTTCTCCAGCACCTGGGGACAGGATGGAGACGCTGGTGGTGGTGGAGGGGTGACAATCATATGTGGCCAGGCCCCATGCCCCTTCCCCAGGTCCCTTCCCCTCCAAGAAGGCCTGGACTGGCCCTGTGACTGTGTCTGGCCCCACAGATGGGCCAGGTCAGAGTTTTCCTTCCCTGTGGTCAGCCTTTCTGTGGCCGGGTGACAGCCGAGACCTGCCCCTGTTTGGCTGTGCATCTGTCAACTGCCAGGTGGCCTTCAGGGCCTCTGAGCTCAGCCTGTCTCAGGAAAGGGTCCCTGTGAGTCTCTTAAACCCCTCCTCACCACAGAACCAAGTGGCCATGCAACAGAGCAGGGGTGCAGAGGCCAGAACACGAGTGGACTCCCAGCCCCACCACAGTCCCTGGGGACTCTGGCTAACTTCTCTGAGCTTCCACACCCCAGCCTGCAATATGGGGATGGAGATCTAGCGCCTGAGGTACTGCAGGGCTCTGAGAGGTGCCCCACCCAGCACTGCCCAAGGCCTCACCTTGTTGAGCCCCTCCATGACCACGTAGGGGAGGTGCTCATGCAGCATGGCCGGGGAGATGATCACCTCGTTGAAGGCCTTGTTGTCACCCCAGATGGCGAAGTACGTGGGCTCCTCCTGCTCGCAGCAGCTGAGGGGGCACAGGGGCCAGGGGGAAGCTGAGGGTGGGAGACAGCCTGGCCTGGACCCCCAGGCCCTGGCTCTGTTCTCTGCCCTGGCTTAGCAGCGGTGGGTGGACTTGGAGGCCTCATGCCCAGCCTGGCCAGCAGAGCTGTATCCCTGGCTCTTGGCTCTCGTCTCGGTCTCGGCCCCCATCCCCACCCCACTTGGCTAGGAACATTTACTACAAACAGAGGCCCAGAAAAGCTGACCTTGAGCCCTCAGCCACAGTCCCTATACAGCCTTCTACACCCTTGTGACCTGGGCCATACCTGCTCCACCCTGGGCAGGACCCAGCTCACAAGCCCAGCCCTCTAAATGAAGTGACAGAAGTCAAGCGCTTGCCCATTCTTTTCTCTCTCCTCCACCCTTGGTCACCCACTCCCACCCCTACACACAGCTATCTGCCATCTAACCACAGAGGTGACGTCAAGTGACAACTGAAGCATAAGCTGGCCAGGCCTCAGGGTGACCGCTCCAGGGCATCTTCTTTTAAATAGACCACAAGTAGTAAGAGCAGCCCTGGGGGACACCAGGAAGAGGCTGACACTGGGGACAAGAGAGGAGCCTGGAGTCCCGCTCGGGGACTGGCCTTTGTTCCCCTTCTAGGGCCCTAGGCTGGGACAACCCCTGCTGTGGGTGCCCTGGGCCATGTCCCAGCCTCCACACCCCCAGTGCCCTGGAGGCTACAGCTCCTGTCTGGACGCTGCTCCTTCCCAGCTGAAGAGGCATGAGCAGCACCTACCAGCACTGCTCCGCTGGGTGGTTGTGGACCACATGGATGATGCGGCCGGGCGGGTAGAGCGGAGTGCTGGCCGACAGGGCAATGGTCAGGTCACTGGGGTGCGTCCAGAGCCGGGTGTTGGACAGGGTGGTCACCTCCGCCTCCTCCGGCAGCTCCGACTTGGGGATACATTTAGTTGCCCCCACAATAATTCGCCACTGTGCGGGCAGGGGGGAGATGGGGACAGCTGAGCAGCAATGGCTGGGTGGATGGGGACAGAGGTGCTCAGATGGAGGGCTCATAGGTGACAAGTGGGAGCTGGCGTGGCCATGGGACAGAGGGATCAGAAGGGGATGATCCTTTCCCTTGGCTGCAGAACAAGCTGCACCTCAACACCCCCCCCCCCAGGTAAGTGCCAGCACCCCCCTGAGGCGGACACCACAGCAGGCTTTGGAAGGGGTCTTCCTGTCACACACTAGAAGCTCAGAGTCGGGGGATGGCTTTCTCCTGACTTTACGCAGCTGGGTGGGACAGGAGCCAGGACTCAGGAGTCCTCAGTTGAAAACTGACTCAGCTGCAACTTGCTGTGTGAGCAAATGCAAGTCCCTTGCCCACTCTGGGCCTCAGTTTCCCCATCTGTACAAGGACAGGTAGGGGATAGGTGGGATGAGCTCAGAGATGCTGAGGGTCTGATGGCCTGAGGTTCCCAGGACACCAACCACACCCCAACCTGGCTGCACTTGGCTGGGGCTGCTGTGCTTTGGGCCAAGGGACAGGCAAGGCAGGTGGCAGACAAGGTGCCCACAGCCAGGGTGCCCAGGCAGGAGGGCAGGAGGGAGCTCACTTTGGGCTTGGTGCTTCTCTGCAGGACATCCAGGAGCTGTCTGCGGAAACCCTCCAGCTGGGAGAGGCCAATCCTGGGGGTGGAACAAGACGGGCGTCAGCCTGGCTGGCTAGAGACCAGTAGAGGCACAGGGTGAGGGGGCAGCCAGAGCAGGCACATGCCTGGCCCCAGGAACAGGAAGACTCAGCTGTCAGGGTCACAGGGTGGGCGGAGGGGAGTCTGCGGCTCAGCAGGGCCAAGTCAGGGAAGGGGAGGCCAGGCAGGGTGGGTCCTCTAGGCTTGGACACCTGAGGGCATGGAAGGGAGTCTGGCGTCCTTCATCCCTTGTCCCTTGTCCCTCGGGGAGATAGAATCTGAGTTAGAGAGCTGTGGATCCCAGGTGAGGCTCTAAGGAGGGAGGAACAGCCCAGGCTGGGATGGCAGAGAGAAGGAGCAGTGACTCACCTGGGGACAAGGTCTTTGCCCAGAACCACGGCTGTGACAAATTCCTTGGAGTACTCCATGGCATCCTCACTGCAAGGGAAGCAGAGGGGGCACTCAGGTGGGGGAGGGTGCTCAGGTGGGGAGGGCACCCTGCTCGAGCACTCCTGGGGGTAGTGTCTAGACTCAGGGCCTCCTGGGGAGCTCGCAGGTGCCAGTTGGGCTTTGCCCGAGGTAGATCTGAGGTCCTCCTGGCATATGACAGAGACCCCTCTGTTTACCAGGCCCCCTCTGACCAGAGCCAGACTGCCCAGTAGAGCCCCAGCCCCGGAGAACACAGAGGGCCCAGGCAGCTCACCTCAGCAGGCCCCCTGGTGGGGAGTAGGCGAAGCACTTGAGGGTCGGGTACTGGGGGCGCAGGAGGAAGGAGAGGATGGCGGCGGTGCCTGCACCCAGGGAGTGGCCCACCACAATCAGGCCATAGTGTTTGGTTCCGCGGCCCTGGCAACCGAGAGAAGCCTGAGAGCCCTGCCCCACTGTTTGACAAGCTGTCTTAGCTGATACCAGGGAGATGGAGGAGTCCTCCCAGGGTCCTGGGATCAAGTCTGTGCTGCATGGTTGCTGGGGCCATAAGAGCCAAACTGGGCCCCCACAAAGCAACTTCTCAGGGAGACTATTCTACCACACTCTTATTCATCCTTCAAAACCTTGCTCTTTGGAGAAGCCCTTCCTGATTTTCCAGGAGACTCCCTCCCTCCTAGACAGTGCATTTGCACCTGGGAATGACCCTTATATAAGGTTACACTCTGTTATAATCATTTGGTCACCTGCCCCGATCCCTATGCCCCAACCACTAGACTGGGATTGATGCATAGAAAATGCCTTACCAGGTCTCTCCCGAAGGCCTGGGACAGGACCATCTCCTGCTCCAGCTTCTTCTTGATGTACTCAGCTGAAAGGACCATTCCCTGGGTGAGGAGGAACAGGGTGGGTGCTCAGAGAAAGGCCAGGGAGAGAGGGAGGCCTCTCAGAGAGAGACCAGCAAAACCACAGCGACCAGCAGCTCACTACCCTGTTCTGCTCACTTCCCCCTTTGGCCCCATAACGACCTGTCTGTGGCACTGGTGGATACTTTACGATGTTTGCATTTCACAGATGAGAAAACTGAGGTTCAGAGGGTTTGTGTGTCTAATAGAAACCAGTGTGATCTCTTCCCAGCTGCCTCCTCAGGCTCTTCTGGGTCAGGATCCTGGTCGGGCAGGGCTGTGGGGGGTCCCAGCCAGCGACACGCCTCTCTGACCAATCTCTACCAGTGAGTCCAGCAAGCAGGGAGGACCCCACCCCACCAACAGGGCAGGTCGGCGTGCTGGCAGGGGAGAAGACGGGGCCCTCGGGGCCCACGAGGCAGGTACCTTGTGTCCCAGCCAGGTGCCGTGGTGCCCCTCCACGGGGAGGCGCTCAGCATCACCAGTCAGGTCTGTCAGGGCGTCCTTGTGGAGAGAGGGAACAGGTGAGGGGCAGGGCTGTGAGGGGGTCCCCAGGGGTAGGCAGGGAGCCACAGGCAGCGTACCTTCGGGGACAGAGTTCCCCGAATGCTGATCACCACCTTCTTCTTGTCATGGTCCACCGCCACATAGAAGGGGGTTTCGTACACCTGGGAGGAGGGTGGCTCATGAGCCTGAGCAGCCCTGGGATGGGGCCAAACTCAGGCTAGTGACCTAAGCAGGTCTCCTTCTGGCCGGGGAATCTGTCTCCACCAGTCACTGGGCCCCTGCCAGTCCGCTGGTCCCATAGACGGCACAGTAGATCCCTCCCGGCCCAGGTCACAGCCCACAATGCCTCCCAGGTGCTGCCACCCTGCCTGCTGGGTCCAGAGAGATGGCTGCCCCATCCCAGGGCCTTGCTGCTTCCTCCCCAGGTTCCTTCCCCCAAAGGCTGAGGCTGGGGAGCTCTAACCCTGGGCGTAGGGTTGGGGTCACTTCCAGAGAGGAGGTGTGGGGAGAAGGGCCCATCTCTGGTCTGCCCAGCTAGGGGAGGTCTGGAGGTTGCTGCTGGCAGTGCCAGCAAAGCCAAGAGCTCCCACTGACTGTGGGACAGCTCAGGTGCCCAGGCCCGTGCCGCCTGCTCCTGGCGCCAGGCCGCAGCCCCGACTGCCTCTCCGCAGCCTGCAGAGGCCAGAAGCTGGGGGATGCTGCACAACAGCCTGGCCCAGCCGCCCGCGCCCTCACCGCGTCATGGCAGGAGGTGTAGACAATGTCCACCGCCGTCATGTTCTCGTCCAGGAAGTGGCGCCGGATGGCAATGGCGTTGCAGCCACAGCAGTTGTCTTCTTCGATAGTGACTCCCGGGGCAAACCGGGGCCGTGCGGGGCACAGGCAGCACCTGGGGTGGGGTGGCAGGGGCTCAGGGCCAGGGGCCTCCAAAACAGCAGTTTTCTCTGTCATCCCCTCTGGACCCCTCTTGCATCCCCACCCCCTCCCAATCCTCCTGCAAAGTTCTACAGGCCACTTCCCAGCCCTTGTCTCACTTGGCTTCTTGGCAGCAGGTGACCTGTGATCTGGATGGTTCTTCCCTCCCCCTTGAGTGCCCTCAGTCCTGGACTGTGTCTCCCTCGCCAGCAGTCTCCTTGGCCCGTCCTCTCACCGAGGCTCAGAGGTCAGTGCTGGAGTCCCCTTCCCTCTGGCACACCCGCTCCGCAGGGCCTCATCCAGTCTCGGGCTTTAATACCACCCGGGTGCTAATGAACCGCTCAGGTGCTCCCATCCCACCACCAGCAGGGCTTCAGCCTCCCCAAGTCCCAGGCGCCCGTGCTCCCCACTGCCCTCCACGCCCTGCCCACTCACCCCTCAGTCCCATGCTCAGAGCCATCTTCAGGTCGCCTCCCCACCTCACAGCCCACATCCACTTGGTCAGCACATGGGTTCGCACTACCTTCAGGGTCATAACCAGACTCTGACGGCCTTCCCTGGCCTCCGCCCCTCCCCCCTGCTCCATGACACCATCATCTCTGCCTCGGTGGTCACAGTGGCGCCCTGCCCGGTGTCCCTCATCTACCTCAGCCCCCTACCTTCTCAACTCAGCAGCCAGAGTGAACCTTGCAGATAAAAGTCAAGCCACATCATTTCACTCAAAACCTCACAACGCAGCCCTTCTTGCCCAATGTCAGAGCCAGGTCCTTTCAGCGGCCGGGGCCCTGCCCCATCTGGCCCCAGTTCTCCAGCCTGCTGCCTCCGACTTCCCTCTGGCCACAGTGGCCTCTTGCCCTCCCTCAGATGCCTTGGCCATATTCCTGCCTCAGCGCCTCTGCAACCCTGGCTCACCCTGCTTAAAACACTCTCCTGGACCCTGTGTGGCTGGGCACCTCGTTCCTTCAGGCCTCTGCTGAAATGTTATAGTGCGTTCCACCCGGGCCACCTCGCCTAACAGCCAGCCCCGCAGCGGGGTTCCCCACCTGGCTTTATTTTCTCCAAAATGCTCATCTGCTCCAACAGGCTCTGTTTCCTGTCTGTGCATTGTCTGTGCCTCCCAACCAGGTGACGGGCTCCTCAGGGTAGGCTCTGCTCTGCTTCAGAGCTATGTCTCCAGCACCCAAACAGTGCCAGGCACATAGTGGGCTCCCCACAAATGAATGGGTGTGAGCGGCTGAGCTAGGCACCCGGCAAGGGGTGCAGCTGCTCCTCAGGCCACCAGAGGGAGCCAACACCCAACAGATCAAGCCAAGAGCCAGGAGAGCACAGGACTGGAGCCTGCCGGCTGTCTTGAGATGACAGCTGAGATTTTACGAGGAATCCTGAGTTCTGATGATGCTGAGAGGTTTTGTCTTCACTCGAGTAGCACCTGAGGGACCGTGACACACTTCCCAAATGGGAGAAGACTTGCTGAGAAAACCCAGGGTAGGGCCAACTCTTGGAAGCTACTGGGCGACCATCTCGATGCATGCTGAGTCCCTGCACCCCTTGCCAGGCCAAGTGGGGGCCATCCTGGGCTTGGGGGTTAGGTTCCTGTTCTCAGGTAGCTGTCTGCTCTCCAACCTCAGCCCCCTCTCCTAGCATTGAACATGTGGCCACACAGTGCGACCTTTGGACAGACCTGGACTTGAACCCTTGCTCTGGGTGTCCCTTCCTGACTGTGAAGGCCTGGAGGGTACTAGGCTGTCTGAAGCCTCAGTTTCCTCCTCTGTAAGAGCAGGTGCTAATAGTTACTTCACGAGAAAAGTGTGAGATCAAAGGCCCAAGATGCAGAGGGGAACCTGCATACAACAGGCACTCAATAATGGTGGCTCTCCCTCTGTCCAGTGAGGGGCTGCCTCTGAGTCAGTGATCTGGGGGCCAGGAGCTGAGGAGCACAGCAGGGCCAACAGGGGGCAAGGTGCTGCATTTTTGAGGCCAGTGCTCCTGCCAGGAGGAGACGGGGAAGGGGGCAGGTCCATGGGCAGGTCTGGCTTGCCATGCTCTTCCTGGGATGTGGGATGGGAGAAATGCTGCCAGGTGAAGGGTCCAGGCCAAGGCGGGTGGGCAGCCCTCCTTCCTTTGGTCAGTGCTGGGTCTGAAGACCTTCAGCTCCCTCTTCCTGCAGCACCAAGAAGCTGCTACAAATGCCAACAGCTCTCCTGTCTGCAGAGGCCCTGAGTGCCTGGCCTGTCAGTGACTCCCTGGCTTCTGAGATAGCCTGTGGACACTGCCGTACAAATGACATCCCCACCCTGCCCGTGAGTAATGGAGCAGGGCCTGTCGGAGTCCCAGTCATGGGACTCTGGGGTTGGTGCTCATTTGAGAAGCTCTCAGCCTCGGCGGGAACTCCCAAGGATGCTGGGAGGAGCTCCAGCTGTGTGCGGGCTGGCAAAGATGGGAAGGGGGCGTGGGTGCCCTGGTCCATTCTGTCACTTGCTGGGATGATGGTGAAAAGAAGGTCCTGAGAGCCACCCAGTTTTCTGTGGAAAGGAAGGCTCTACAGGAGGGGTGGCTGCTGTGGGTCCTAGGACAGGGGTGTCGCAGACAGGAGCTGCCTGCCCAGCATGCCAGCCTTTCTGGAACAGGGAGCCAGGGAGCTGTCCTCCTTCTGCGTGGCCTGCACTGAAAGCGGAATATCAAGTATGGGGAGGCCCCCCCTGGAACTGTGCCCTTCCCTGGCCCACTGGGGAAAGCAGAATCCACCCAGGCCCTGGCTGTGGACTGAGGGCCGTGCCCAGCTGCCAGCTCCCTGCGGAGAGCCCTTCACTGGAGGGCCTTCCCAGAGGCCCCCACGGAATGGGCCTCTCCACCGGGAGTCCTTCCCTTGAGAGAGGCAGAGCTCTGGAACAGGCAGGAGAAGGGGAGATGGAGGCAGAGGGGAGTGGTTGAGAGGGCCAGGGAGAGGGAGGGGTGGCAGCCAGCAGTGCCAGATGGGCACCATCCCATTCAATCCTCTCAAAACCATCCCAGGAGGTGTGTACCACCATCCCCACTTTACAGGTAAAGAAACGGAGGCTGGCAGAAGGAGACACTTGCCCAAGGCTGCAAGTGACAAAGTCTAGATTCAAACCTGGAACTGTGTTATCCCAAAACCCACGTTCTCTGCCCAGGGCTAAGGTGGAACGAGGGAGGTGGAGGCCCAGGTGGGACGGAGGACAAGCACAGGCCTCGGGGAGGCGGACCAGGGCACAGGCACAGTCTGCTTAGGAAAAGCCTCGCTCCTCGGGCCCAGCTTCCGGGCCTCGGCCCCTCCACACACGCTGACCGGGGGGCAGAGGGGACGGTACTCACGAGCAGGACCTGGCCAGCTGGCAGAGGCCACAGGCAGGCTTCCGCATCAGGTACATGGGCCACCCGTAGGCGGCCAGCGCAAACAGCATGTAGTAGCAGACCTCTTTGTAGCGGAGCATCTCTTGCTGGAAGAGAGGAGGCAGCGATTGTCACCTCCTGACCTTCACACCCGCAGCCTCAGGGCCCGCTGGCTCCCCACAGGCTCCCCACAGGCTTCCCACAGGCTGCAGACGCCTCTCCCGCCTTGGAGGAGGGACTGCTCCTCCAAATGATAATTGCATTTCCCTAATTATCTCCATGCAACCAGGGCACAAATCCTCCCGAGACCTGTCCTGTTGCTCCAATCGCAGAATTAATGATTTGGGAACAGAAAAGCACACGGAGCACTGGATTGATTTCTTTGCCCAGTTTCCCAATAAAGGAAGAGAGAGGGAGGGGTGAGTGGCCATCACCCGCCTCAGCAGTCAGGTCTGAGAAGGGAAATTTAACCCTGAGAGGCCCTGGGTTCTCTAGTTGGGCATGTCTAGGCCTTGAGCTGTGGGGCCAGCCCTGGACACTGATACACCAGGTGACCAGACAAGTCACCGACTCTCTAGCTTGACACACTGAGTCACTAGCTTAAAGGGGGCAGCTGGGGAGACTGGGATCTCTCTGGGCAGACTGGGATCTCTCTGGAGAAAGGTGCCAGTTGGAAACCCAGTGTCTGAGGCCAGGGGCTGTTATCAGCCCAGAGGGCTGGAGGGACGCAGAAGGGCAGTGCCCAAAAAAACAAAGCCAAGTCCAGTGTCCTGGCTCCCCAGGGGCTGGAGGACTACTGCACTTAGAGGGAATTAATCACCTTATAAAAGTTAGAGGGTGATTAGTCATCTGTGAAGTGAGAAAGGTATGCCTTAATCATGGCCCAGAGGGGTGGAACGGAACTGGAGAAGATAATTATCCTCGTGTCAGAGCCCTAGGCTGCAGGGCAGGGCACTGCCTCTGCCATGTGGCAGGCAGGGACCCAGCACCTATAGGCTGGGCTGCCTGCCCCGCCCGCTCGTGAGTGAGCACCTGCCACGCACAGGCTGTTTTCAGAGGGGATGCAAAGGCCCGCTTTGGGGAGTGGGGACAGATGAGACCCACACTTTTCCGGGAGATTCAGATGGTAGGATGAATCCTTTCTAGCAACATCCTGATTGGCACCACTGTTTGCTGGCACTGCACTGAGAACTGGACTCAGGAGGGTTTGCTTCCTCCCCACCAGAGCTCTGAGTGCAAGGTGTGCCCAGGGCCATCTACACATGTGGGAAGAGGCTCAGTGGGTCAGTGGGGAGCTGATGCACACCCAGGTTTGCTCCTGAGGCAGAGCAGGCTGGTGGCAAGGGATACCCCCTCATCCTTGTGACACACACTGACTGGATGTCTACTAGAAGCACCGGAGGAGAGGTTGAGGTTCTGCTACTCGAAGCTGGAAACCCAAGTGCTACATCCCGCTGCCTTTTATGGCGACAGCAACGACAAGAGTAACAGTAGCAGCTCCCTCTGGGAAGCACTTTATAGCCTTGAGAGGCCAGGGCCGAACATCCTGCGCAAGGGCAAGAAGAGATTCAGGGGGTTCGTGGATAGAACCAGCGTGGAGGGGGTTCTCAGGTGAGATCTAGAAGAGGGTCTGTCTGTCTGGGGAGCTCAGGGGGACTGATGCTGGAGCAGGTGGTTTGCTCCAGTCACTCCAGCAGAGAGAGAGAGGGGCTGGGTGTGGATGAAAAGGGGCCACATGCTAACCTGACGAGCTCAGGGAAGGCCTGCATGGTGGCCTTGCAAATTTACAGGCCCAAAGTAACCGCAAAGGATGGTCTGAAATGAAAACTTTTTAACTAAAGAGCAGTTTATGGTGAGTAGTCATGCCCTAGGCTGGTATCTTTCTTGACAAGGTCAATCTTTACCTTAACTGAGCCTGTCTATTGTGTTTTTGCATCTACATTAACATATAGTTGGAACGTCAAAGTAATTTTGCTTTCTCCCGCCTCCCTAATCTATCACCAATAGATTCCATGTAACCCACTTACATCTCCCCTTCTCAGTGTAATGTATAAAATACAACGCGAAACTGCCATTCTCCGGAGCATTATCTCAATCCATTGAGGTTTTGGCTTCCCAGCAACTGTCGACAGTTTGCTTCAAGTAAACTCACAAAAATTCTTCACAGGTTTGACTGATTTATTTTGTTAACCCAGGACAGGGTGGGACGGGGGTGGCTCTGACTCACCGAGTTCTTGAGGTCGAGGTACTTGGTGTTTCTGGTCACTGGCATCCCAGACAGGAAGGCCAAGATGTCATTGTTGGCCTGGAAAACAGCTGTGTGAAGCGGCTGCCCCAGGCCCGCTGAGCGCTAAGAGAGGGGGCCCAGGCACCCAGCTCTGCACTCTGCTGCTTCCCCAGGGCCTGAGAGCCCAGCGAGGGAGGGGCTCCTAGCTCTCCCGTGACCGGGCCACTTTCCCAAAAGCCAAGGTCTTCCTTCTCTTCCACTCAAAGCAGCACCCCCACCCCTTCCTGGGGACGTTCCTAGCCCCAGCCAGGGGGAACCACATTTCGCAGGAGATGCTAGGAGGCCCTAGCTGGTACTGGTGTGTTGTGCGGGGTGGGGAGGGTGCAATGGAGAGGCAAGTGCACAGGCTGAAGCCAGAGCTGTGTCATTCATTAGCCCCTATGGTCAGAAGTCCCTTGTGGCCACCCAGCCTGGGAAGCAGCCACACATGGCCCAGCGGAGGGAGGTTGTTGCTCAAGCAACAGCCATGAGTGGTGGCTGCAGGGATGAGCCGGGGAAGAAAGGGGAGTGAGCACCAGAGGGTGACCTCCAGGGCCCAAGAGGACGTGGGGAGCCAGGAGCAGCAGTAGCAGGGACACAGGGCGAGGCCTGGGGAAAGGTGGTGTAGGGAGGCCACCCGGAGGGGGCCGGGCTCTTACCTCGTCCAGCACGGCGTTGCGCTTGGCCCGCTGTCGCTGCCGAAGCAGTACCAGGCCAGCGATGATGTCAGATGGCACAATGTCCAGGTCCCGGAAAAACTCAGCAAAGAGGTAGGCGATTTCTGAGTAAGCATCCTATGAAGTCCAGGGAGGTGGGAGGCAGGGGTGGGGGAGCAGGAGAGAGGACAAGAGACCAGGAGTGAATCCCCCGGAGCTGCGTGTCTGCTCTGGGCCCCTGAGCAAGTTCACCTGGTACCTCATGGCTCTAGCTGGGCCCGACCGTGTGGCCCTCTGCAGTGTAAGCCTTGGGGCCTTGCTCTGGGCCCTGCACACCTGAGCCTTCTCCATCTTCATCTCCCGGCCTCTCTGTCCTTGGAGTTCCCACGGCATCACTATCTAGCGTGCAAAGATGCCAACTGGAGCCATTTCCTGCTCTTTCCCCAGACACTAGGACTCAAGGCCTACACAGCCTGCTGTTTTCTCCGCCAGCCTTTCTCTCCAGCAGAAAAGCCAAAACTAAGCTTGTGCCTGCTTCCTCCCCACGCTGAGTTTCTCCCACCTCCTGTCCAGGACTGTAGGCTCAGGGACCCCCCGCCATGTGCCTGGCTCCTCTGCACGCCCTGACCTCAGGACAGTCCTGCTGCTCCTCCCTCCCTCACACGGAGCTGGAGTCTGGAACCTTGTCCCTAACCTGTTAGGAGAGGCTGTGGTGGGAACAAATTCATGGCAACTGGCTTTCTTTTGCGGGGTTTCACCCTTGAGTGTCTGGCACTTGTAAGAGAAGAAAAGTCAAGGGATGTAAACTCAAGTGCCTAATGGAGCCAAAGGGAGTCAGCTACGACTCAGCTCCAACTAAGCGGCCCCGCAAGGGGCCGGAACTGCCAGAGCCAGAAATATAGAAGTTCATACCAATGCCCCTGGTTTTGGATATTGGCATCCAATTCAAGTGTTTAAGCTACACGGCAAAGGCTGAAGAAAACATACCCTGGACTGGACGTGACCCCTGGGTCCCCCGTGATATTCTACCTTCTCACCAGCCTCCAGCACCAGCCCTGACACCGAGTGTGGCCTCCACGGGCTCTGGCAGGCCCAGCCCCCATCTGCCAGGGGACTGCTTCCTGCCCTACGCGTGACCTGCCTATGCACCTAGGCTCGTGGGGTTGTTCCCCACCCACGGAACCTCGGAGGGGCTTTCTTACACTTGATTACTCACTCCACAGCTCACCAGGGGCTGCTGATGGGCAAGAGCCACTCAAGGCTTCTGGTGGCTTCCATGGAGGGCACTTGTTGTCTGGCTCAGGGAGGAGCAGTCTCCTGAGCTCACTGGCTCTGCCACTAACTAGCTGTGGGACACTGAGCAAGTCACTCCACGTCTCTGGGCATCAGCTGCCTGGTTTGCAAAACGAGGGGCGGGACTAGATGATCTTGAAGGGCCCTGCCACTGCTGGGAGCTTGGCCTCGAGGACCCCGAAGGCCCTGCCTCCCCTGCCCCCAGTGGCCACCCCCAGCTGACCAGGCCCTCCTGCAGCTCCCTGCCACTGACAGGTCTGGCCCTCCAGCTGCTCCTCAGAGGGCCAGGCTGAAGGCTGCCTGCGCATCTAGGTCGCAAGGAGCACTCCATAGCTCCAACGGGTCTTCCGGAGTCACCTGCGGCTGCTGATATGCTGCTTTTCTTTGTCTTCAGGTTGCCCTGAGTTTTGAGTATCTCTTCTCCTAAACTAGCCTCTGAGCTCCAAGGAGGTCAGTGAAAATCTTTAAATCTTTCTGTGCCCTTGACAAAACAAGGAACAGCTGTTTCACATGCGGAGGGGGCTCACAGGAGGACGCTGTCACTGGTTCCTGCTCAGAACCCAGCTCCCTTTTGCCAGCCCTGGCCCCCGGGCTCTGCAATGAGGAGCAGACTCCGAGTTGTTGACAGCAGGATGTGAGCCGTCTCAGAGGGACACGACCTCCCAGTACTTACTGACTGCGAGTCCTTCGTCCTGGTGCAGCAGAGGAACACTTTGAGCCGGCGAGACCAGCTGGTGGCCTGACCCTCCTCCAATCGGTGCCTGCAAAGGGGGAGAGTTGGTATGTGTGAGGTCACATGGCTGGGCCAGCAGAGCCAGGGCCCAGACATTATGAAAACAGGGTGGCCTGTTCCCAGGATCCCACAAAAGGGCTCCCTGAAAGGGTCTAGGGGAGAACAGGTCCAGGCCCAGCCAAAGCTAGGTGGCCGGTGACCTGGCTGTCCCCTGGGGGGACTCCTGCTGGCCTAAGGTGCCAAGGCTAGGGCCCAGGCAGACTGAACACCAGCACACCTTGGGGGATTTGAAGCTGGGAGCCCAAACCTATCACACAGAGCTGTTTCCCCTCAAAAGGATTTTGAATACATTCTCTGTACTTAGGGGAAGTTTAAGGGCTGAATGAGGCGCTGAACTTCCCAGCTCCTTGGATCTGTGACATCAGAGGAGAGAGAGCCCTCAGCCTTCATCTGCATGGCTGGCCTTCACCATTCTCCCCTCCACCCAGCCCCCCTGGGTCTGGCTGTTCAGATGCAGAGTCAGGTATCCAGGAGTCTGCTGTAAAGGCAGAGCAACTGGCCAGTTATCCACAGAGGCCCTTCCAATGTCAGGTACCTAGAAGTTGGTATGCTTTGAACATAAAGATGACAGATCCAATATTTAAAATGTCAATTTTCAGACTGAACAAGAAGGAACTGGCTTGCTTTTGTGATGCATGTCCTCCCACTGGCCCCATCAAAGCGTGATGCCAGGTGGTCAGGAGGGGGAGGCATGGGTGGCCCTGAACACTAAAAGGCACTTAGCGTCCACAAGGAGTGACAGGCCGGGCTCCCCTTCCCGAGCCTCTGGGCTCTTCTCTGTGGCAAAGGCCATGTCCTGTTCCCAACCCCGGTTCCACAAGTCCAGGGAAAGCCATAGGGCCTCCAGGGCTACAGGCGGGATTAGGAAAGTGTGCACGGGAACTGCTGTTTCTGGGACCTGTCAACCCTAAGGGACTTGGGCAGGCTTACATCTTAATCCAATGCCCTGCCTGCCAGGGGCTTGATAAAGGGAAAGCATGCTGGCCAAGCTAGGCTCCCAGAGCATCATGTGTTGTTGTTGTTTTAACCCTTTCTAACCGAATGGGGTTTTCAAAGCTTCAAAGAGAATTTTCTGCTGGGTCTGTGCCTGATGGAAGTGCTAAGCGTACGATGCGCTGCAGTACCCTTTATGCCCACCAGGGGGCAGATGGCGATGGTGACAGGTTTGGCCTAATGCATTAAGTTAGGCGACAGAGACCAACACAGGGTGAGACATACTAAATCTGCACAGAAAAAGTTCACAGACCAGCACCCCTCTGCCCTGGGACTCACTAAAGTGAAGGGAGGTCAGATACTCCTTTTGCAAAGATCCAAGGTCAAGGCCCCCAGGGAGTAGTGCTGGGAATAATCCATTTCCCAACCCTCACCAGATGTCACTAGGAGAAAGGCCAAGGACCTAAACAGCTTCCTGACTTCCAGAAACTCAATTAACCTGTCAGTGAGACACAGCAGGGCTCGTGTGCACCCCTGAACCTGGAAGTGGACGAAGGGTCGGCGGGCCTCAAAATGTCCTTGTTAGAAACACTGTTTCAGAGCAGAGCGAGGGTGAGTGGAGAACAGCCCGAGAGGTGATCACACTAACCGAGCCACGGCCTGGCCGTCCACCCGAGCCCCACCCGAGAGCTGGAGAAACCGCAACAGGACGGGACCTATGAGCTCTGAGGCCTCTTACTCACCGCACAGGGCCCAGAGATCGCAGGAAGACTTTCTAGTTAAAATGACAGCCACTGCCAACCTCCAACTGCAAAGGCGTTGGCTCTCCTGGGTCCCAAAGGCAATTACACAGAGTAGGGGAGGGGAGATTTTTATCCAGGGCCCCAGGAGCCCAGAAACCGGGTCAGGTGGGGCGTGTGCACGGAGTGAGCAAAATGGGACGGGTGGTGGTGGCCAGCTACACGGGGAGGAAAACAGGCTCCGGGGCCTTGGCTCTGGGACCTGGCATTTTGGGCTGGGAGGTGGCCAGTGCAGGCCTGGGTGTGGCTCTGACTGCAGTGCTGAGCTGACGTGGAGGGCCTGAGAGGAGCGGAACACGGAGGCAGGAGGGTCGGGCGGGGGGTACTCCTGCTGGGCAAGGGGCCCTGGGCAAAAGGGGGGCAGAGGGCTCCTGACCCTGCTGCCCTGGGCTGGAGATGTAGAGCCAGTTCCGTGCCCCACAAACTGGACCTGGGGCAAGTGACCTGCCTCTCTGGGATTTCGACTCCTGTCTGCAGAATGGGACTCACAGCCGCACCAGGGTCGTGGAAGGGCTGATGGTGGAAAGGGCCCCGGGCCTAACTCTCAAGAGAAGCCCAATTCACAGAACTTACTGTGACCGCCACCCCCCGGGGAAATCCCTCTCTCTTTTTCTTTCAGTAAACAAGAAGTGCTATGACCCCGAGTGTCCTCTCTCATTTTCTCGGCCACGGCACACCTTCCTCTTTCTGCAAAACACCACGTGAAACTGACCCCCTCCAGGAAGCCTTCCTTTATTAACATCCTCTGGCCCCCTTAATCCTAGAGTCAGCTTAGCCTACTGGTTAAGAGCAAGGGCTCTAAAGCCAGGCTGCCTGGGCTTGATCCCAGCCTCATCATGCACCAGCTGAGTCACCTCAGGCAAGTCACATAACCTCTCTGGGCCCAGTTTCTTTATCTGTGTTATAAAGATGGTAACAGCTACCTCATGGAGCTATTGTAGTTAATACTATATACGATTGGCTCGGCTTACAAGTGCCTACTGCTATTACTGTCGTAGTTATTGGCTTTGAAGGTGAGAACAATGCTAACAATGGCTACCACTTACTGATCACGAACCAACGTGAGCACTGTGTTGACCACTTTGTGCGTATTACCTAATTTAAATCTCATTATAGCAGCATGAGGCAGGAACTATCAACTGTCCCACTTTATAGACCAGGAAACTGAGGCAGGGAGAGGCTAAGCCTTGGACCAAGGCCATGGCTCACATAGGCTGCGATGCAGTTTGGGAGGTGTGGGGCCAGCCTTGCCCACCTGTCAGCAAATCCCACGAGGGGACTGCCCACTGCCCAGCCAACTAACCGTAGGTTGTAGGTCCGCAAGTTGCGCTGCCTCCTCTTGGTGGCTCTCAGTTTGACGAAGGTACGGCCCGTGGGGTCAAAGACACAGAGGACGGTGATGCAGACGCTGAGGATGACCACCCAGTTGCAGACGACCATCCCTGCGGGGCAGCAGTAGGAAGCAGGAGGCGGAGGTTCTGGGACACCTCCCCGGCTCACCAGCTCTAAAGTAAAGGGTGCTGGAGGCTCCCTGTCCCCAACTGCTCATGGCACCCAACAGCAAGGCCCAGAAGCCCTGGCTCTAGGCTCTGGCCATGAGGCCATCCCCTTGCTGGGCCGTGACCCCAGTGCCTACCCTTGGTACAGAGCAGGAAGCTCTGTAGGCTTCCATGAGATGCTGGGGGGGCTTCAGCTGCTGGCCCAGGCAGCTCTGTGCCTGCTGCTGCCCCACAGATCAGGGTCCCCCGAGGTCGGTGGCAGACCACAAGGATGAAGGCCACAGCCCCCCATCGAAACTGCTTCCCCGGTGGTGCTCGAGCTTCCTCTCTACCCCATCCCTTCTACCCCCGGCGCACATACCGAGGGTAACGTTCTTGGCAGTGAGGTCGTTGCAGGAGGTGTAGTACTGAGTGAGCCAGACGATGCCCACGATGGCATAGATGAACTCAATCACCAGGATGGCTGTGAAAACAGCAGGGCCCTGGCTGAAGGGCGGCCACTGTCTGCCCACCCAGAAGGGCCCTGGCGCCTCGGCCTGGCCCGTCCCACCACAGGGCCTCGGCCAGCTCAGCAGCGGGGGTGTGAGACCCCCACCTGCCTCCTGCCCAGTGGCCTCGTGGAGAAGAGGGCCCAGGGAGCGTGGCTGTCCTCCCAGCTCTGTCCTGCTGCAATGTGCCCTTGGACCCCGACACTCCCTGAGAAGGAGACTGGAGAGGTAGATGAAGAGGCGTTTCCCTGTTCTTTCAGGATTTTAGAATCATATCCATGAACTGGAATCAGACGTATCTTAGGCAAGTTACCTAGTCTCTCTGAGCCTCCGTCTCCTCATCTGTAAAATGGGGGACAATGTCTACATTACATTACTGTGTGAGAATTAGATGAGAGAGTGTTCATTTAAAGGAAACTTCTATTTTCCCAGGGTGAGGCCTCTGGCACTTGAGGCAGGAGGAGGAAGGAGGCCCTGCAGCCCACTGCTCAAGGCTCCCTGCTCTGGCCAGAGCGCTGAGCCCGGGGCCGAGGCGGGGTGGGGTTGGGAGATGGGGGCAGCACTGGAAGCCCCAGTTCCACAGGCAGCCCATGAGGAGGACAACGGCGGTCCTCCTGGGAACTGGCTGGTCCAGGCCCCTGAGGCCTTTCCCAGGAAGGGGCTGCTTGCCAAGGACGGCGAAGCAGCTGAAGAGACAGCCTAGGCCAAGGTGGGGGAACTTTCTCTGTAAAGGCCAGAGAATATTCCAGATTTTGCAGGTCACACTCTTTGTCACAGCTACTCAGCTCTGCTGCTGTCACACAAAAGCAGCCAGAGATAAGAAGAACATAAATGAGTGTGGCTGGACTCCAATAAAACTTTATTTACCAAAACGGACAGCAGGCTGGATTGGGCCTTCAGGCCAAGGTCTGCCCATCCCCGGTTTAGAGTGTAAGCTCAGTAAGCCTGCTGGCCCCATCGCATGTCCCAACAAATGTTGGCTGAGTGACGGAGCACAGGAGGGTGCAGGTGGGGGTGACCCAGAGCAGCCTCCACCCGAGGCGAGTGGCCTTACCCAGGCGCACGTAGAGCACATACTGCATGGACTCGCGGGGCTCTGTGTAGAGGATGCCTCCACGCATGCTCAGCCAGATGATGGCCATCTCGGCGATCATGCAGCTCAGCAGGATGCCCAGGTAGCCGCGGCCGTGGTCCACCAGGTTCAGGGAACAGGCCTCGTGCGGGTTGTAGACCAGGCCGAAGAGCACCACGGACAGGATCACAAACCTGAGGGGACACGCACGTTGAAAGGGGCCGGCAGCCTGCACACCTCCCGTGGCCCCACCCAGCCTGGGGTGCCTCTGAGGATACGGGCTGCCAGGGACAGGGAAGCAAGAGAGAGGAGCCCAGCTGCAGCCATGGGAGACAGCAGCAGCTCCGCCCAGTGCTGGGGCTGGTGGTGGCCAGGTGAGGTCCCTGAGCTCCATGTGTATGTCACCTAAGGGGTTGTATGTTTCAAGCACCTCCTGTTGGGAGCTTGGAGCATGACAGGATCAGGACAGATGGCTAGGAAGCCTCCTTTTAGCCCTTTCTCCTCAAACCCAGGCTGGTGGTGTGGCCCCAAGACTCACCAGGTGGTGTGCAGGAGGAAGAGGAAGATGGCTGGCAGGACGAGGTCATCGCTGCCCACAGACCAGCGCCGCCGGAACACTACGATCCCGGGCATGGCTGGCGGCTCTGCGGAGGCTCAGCGGGCCTGGAGCTCACCTCCTGAAAGAGCAGAGGACCCTGTGGCTGCCTGGGCCACTGCAGCACCGAGGCCACTGCACTCTGGCCAGGTGTGCTCAGCAACACTGGCATCTCTCCCAGCTCCCATGGCCCAGAGGCTTCCTGGCCACCGGAAATGCTAATCCATCTTTGGGCAGGACCCACGCCCACTCTATCGACCTCCCAGAGCCAATATAAAGGACCTCAGCAGCCAGCTTGGCTTCACTCTACTCCTGAGGTCCCTCCAGCCCCTAAGACTGGCACTTGCCCCTTGGGATCAGCTCTGCCTGGGGTTATCCCAACAGAACTGCTCAGCTCCATTCAAGGCCTGGGCTTACCCCCTGCCTCCCCTACATGGGGTAAGGGGAGCTCCCTGGCCCTGCTACTGCCCTTCCTCAAGGAGGCCTGGCCAGTGCATGCAGTCCTTGGCGTGGGGTGGGGGCTTCCCCGATCAAGCATGAGCCTGTCTCCCGGCATGAGATGGGCAGGGGTAGGAGGTAAGGGCAGCTGGAGTAAGGGCATGGCAAGCATGGAGGTGGGTGTGCCCAGCACACAGTAGGTGCTCAGTAAATATTTGTTGAATTAGGTCTTCAGTTTCTTGCTTTGCTGGAACCTGGGGACATGCTCTATGACCTGGTTTTGCACCCACCAGACAGAATTCCCAACCTCAGCTACGCCTCTTGTTTGGTAAGGGCATGGTTGAGACCCAGGGTCAAAAGCATGCCTGAGGCACCCCGCCCCCTGCTGGAAGGGCGGTGGGTGAGCCCTACAGGGTATCCCACCCTCCCGGAAGCCACATCTCCCATGCCCACCTGCAGCCAAGCAGCCTTTACCTCCCAAGTCCCAACTCTGAAATTAGAGTTCAAATTAGCCTAGGGAAGCTCAGGGAGGAGTGCCAGGAATCCGGGCCCCACTCCCTAGAGCCGGGAACAAGGGTGGTGGAGCAGCCGGAAGGGTCCCAGGGGGGTTGCTCCAGGGATCCGGTGAGGACTCCAGGGTAGCCCTGCACGGAACTGTGCAGAGTACAGTGGACAGCTGCCCCCGGCCGGCAGAGGCTTACATGGCACCTGGTCCTCTCCCCGTGACGGCTCCAGGGAAAACGAGTATCCTCAGAGACCGGCATCACTCAGGAAGGAAGCGGCAATCTCCCTGGGCTGTACACAGCCCTCCGGGGGGCCGGGGGGCGTGGGGCTGGCCAGGCCGTCCAGCCCGCTGGGCTCCAGCTCCCTCTCCGGGCGCAGCCGCTTCATGGGCTGCTGCAGGCTGCGGGCTGCGGGCTGCTCGGCTGGAGCGGGGCCTGGCGGGCGGCTGGCGGGCTAGCCTGCTGGGGTCGTGCTACTCCTCCCCCCACCCTCAGGAAGTGACATCATCGCACTCTTACGAGGAGGAGTCGGAGCGGAATCTGGGGAGCAGGGAGAGGATGCGGAGCGCAGAGCGGTGTGGTGGGGTGGCCGGGGTGGGGTCTGGGCTGCGGGGGGCTAGGGCTGCGGTGGTGTGTCTGACAAGCGGCTGACAGCACCGGCTTCCGTTAGAAAGGACCGGACGGGAGGGGTTGGGACATCGTGGGTGGCAGCAGGGCCAGGGCTGGACAGAGCTGCCAACAGCTGGGGTTTTGCCACTGGTTCTCCACAGCCCCTCCTGATCTCCAGATGGCTCCCGGCGGGGAAGGTGGAGTGTGGGGTGGGGCCTGGGGAGCCCCTGACTCAAAAAAAGAATGGCTGAGAGGTCCTGGGCCAGCATGGGGCCAGACCGCCCAGGGGCGCTGCAGGTCCTCCTGCTCTAATCGGGACAGGCCTGGGTGGAGGCAGGGGAGCACCAGCCCCTGGGGGCAGCGGCAGGTGAGGACCCTGCCCCTGCCAGCAGCCCAGAATGTCCCATGCTTAGGTATGCCCCGGGGGCCCTTGCCAACTACCTCTCGCCCCCACCCTTCGCCTCTTGGAGTCTAGAATGATGAACACGCCTTAAACTCACATATACCATCCTCACCCCCCTCAAGCTCACACACAGCCCCACGCGTGCACACAGCCCTGCCTTCCCTGCTCTCAGGTGGGAGAAGCAGGGCCAGCCCGGTGCCGGCCCTGCAGAGGCGGCCAGAGCTGTGTTAGACGCTGAAGTGATTCGGCCAGTGGCAGCCTCTGCCCCCAGCCTGAGGGCAACAGCATGGTCAGTGCCAGCGCCCACCGAATCATGTGGACCCCAATGGGTGTCTTGTGACAGGCCTGGGGACCACATCCTGCACCCTCTGGCCCGCACCTGGGGCCAGCCCACTACTCCTCCACCACCTGCTGATGTGTGACTTACTGGTTGTGACTCAGTTTCCTCATCTGTCGATTATCTCACCTGCTAAAAGTTCTGCTGATGACCACATGGGAGACCGTCCACAGAGGCCCCAGTCGCTCTGGAAAATGCCAGTGCAGGTCTTAGCAGGAGAGGGGGAGGCCGAGGGAGAGTGTGCGAACCCCTTCTGGGCCAGCTGCCCCTCCCCTGCCTGGGCCAGTGGATTCTCCAGCTGGTCACCAACAGGTCATGGTCTGGGGTGAGGGTGACAGGGCCCGTGCTGTTGCTGGGGGGAGGATGGGACAACTCCAGTCCATGTGGATCAGAAATCTCAGGGCTGCTATTTTTAAGGGCCTGAAAGCCATCCTTTCTCTGGAGACCCCAGCTCTTCACAATGGGGGCCTGTTCCCCTGCTGGGGATGTGATTTCATCTGGAGGAAATGTCTCAGGCGGGAGAGGGCAGAGGCTACTTCCTGGTCTGGGGCTGCCACAGGTCATCTGGCTCTTCTCCCCGGGCACAGGGTCGGTCCCCTCCAACAACCACAGTGGGCAGGCACACAGCCTCCCCCTCCTGACCCCAGACCAGTGGCACTTCCAGGGCAAGCATGGTGCCCCTTCCAGTGGGGGGAGAGCAGGGGCGCTGCTGGGGCTCCCCATTCCCCTGTCTTAGCCCCCAGCCCAGGCAAGTATGAATGAGGTGCCAGGAGCCCCCCCTCATGTAGATGGGATAACTCAAGTGGCCCTAGGGAGTCCCTTTCTTCCCCCACCCACAAAGCCCAATTTCCCTGCTGGTGATTCAGGCCCCTGGGTTAAGTATTAACCATTCTGGGAGTTCCTCTTTCTAAAAATGCAAGTCTTCTCAAAAATGCACATGCTGTACCCTACTTTAAAAACCTTCCATGGCTCCCTGTGGCCTGCAGGGTCAAGTCCAAGCCCCTCCAGCGGTGGCTAAGGGTCTTAGTCATCAGTAGGCAAGCTGTGCAATGTTGGGCAGATGCCTTGCCCTCTCTGAGTCCTGCAGCAGGAAAATACTCCCTGATCCGTGGGGACAGACTCCAGCGCAGGTCCTACCCTCAGCCAGCAGGTTCCTTCTGGCTGGGGAGGTGCTCCAGCCCCTTCTCACACTGCCCATTCTCTTTTACCTACCACCGCCAAATTTGCTGCTCCCTAAATTCACCTCTTTGGAAGGCACTGTGCTTTGTTTACCCCAGTTTCTCTGCCAGACAAAACCCTGCTCATCTTTCTAGACCCGCCAAAAGTCACCTCCTCTTTGAAACCTTCCCTGGTAGCTCCCACCTACCCTACCCTTCTCAGGCTAAACAGGCTGTCCCCTTATGGGATCCCAGGACTCCTCACTCCTGTGTGGCCCTGGGCACAGCCTTACAGTAAACTCCCTGATTCCTTGCTGCCCATCCCTGCCCCAGCTCAACAGAGAGTCCCTGAGAGCTGGGCCTGCACGTCCTTCATCTTCACACCCCCTCTTGTGCCCTTGGAGTGGGAGCACATCCAACCTCAAAGCCAGCCCCTCTCCTCCTGAGCAGCCTCACTTGGCTGCCCCCAATCCCCGCTCTTCCCCCCTGAAGCATCCCTAAGTCCCCCTGAAGGCGCTCCGTTCTTATAGGGTTGTCTTAGCTCACACCCTTGGCTTTTGGGGACACACCCCACCCAGTGCCTCCCCAGCCTGTTCAGGGAGGACCACCTGCCTCCTCTGGCTGTCTTAACTGCCCCCCAGGGCTTCAGTGTCTTCTTCTGCAAAGCAGGGGTAACGTCCCCCTTGGAAAGCTATGGGGAGAACTGACTGCGATGGTGTCACTAGAGGGTTTGCACAGGCCCTGGCAGACCCCAAGCTTCTATTTGTGGTGGCTGTCATATCAACAGAGCTCCTGAGACTTCTTGGCAGGGGGATCTGTGGCCGGATGCTGGGGTCTGCGCAGGTGTTGCTGCCGCCCACGACTGGCTCCGCCTGATGGAGAAGGGCTGGACTGAGCAGATGTAAGTCCAGACTGGGTAACACCCCCCCACCACCATTGTGGGCCTTGCGGGATTGTGGGCTAAAGCACCCCAGGCTGGGCCTTATCCCCTGATCCCAAGGTCCCCTTGGGCTTGGCCCTGGAAGCAGGTTTCAGGGAGAAGAGGCCCTCAACAGAAGGTCCCAGCTGAGGGGTGCCGAGAGCTCCCACGGGAGGGAAGAGGGTGTGGGCTGCTGTGTCTACCCTCCAGCTGGCCCTACACAGGGTCCTGGCCATGTGGGAGATGGGAGGTCACCTTGCTTGCCTGCAGTGCCCAGTGCCCACAGGGGACAGGCTGATGTGCTGGGAGAGATCCCAATAGTGCCACCTCCAGCTTCTAGGTCAGCTTGTGAAATTTCCCATCTGGCCAGAGGTAGCCTTGGGCATCCGGGCCCAGGGATGGGCTGGAGATGGAGTCTGGAGGGATGACAGCCAGGCCCAGGCCACAGGGATATGTCTGACATCAGCTGCAAACCTCCGGTGTCCCAACCCTGGGCTAATCACCTTCCATCCTCACAGCAGTGATGGGGTGACAGCGTCACTCTCACTCCACATGCACTAAAAACAGACTGTGTGAGTCCTAGCTCTGCACTCACTGGCTATGTGACCTTGGACAAGCTGTTTAATCTCTCTGTGCCTTGGGTCTTCATTTCTGAAATGGGGCTAAGAACAGTGTCTACTTCAGAACTGTCATGAGGGCTAAATGACTCACATACTTAAGACGGAACCTGTCACATAGTAAGTGCTCAGTAAGTGCTGGCCTTCCCTTATTGTCACTGTTGAAGGATGGGAGACTGAGGCTCAGAGACTCTGGCCCGTTACCTTAGGAGGAGCAGGTCCTTCCTACTGCCATCCAAAGCCCACACCTAACTCAGGAATGTCAGAAGAGACCTAAGAACCAGTCCTGCCACCCCCTTCTATGGGTGAGGAAGCTGAGGTTCAGAAAGGCCCCAGAGGCTCCAGCTCTCTCTGTGGACACAGAGTCCCCAAGTCCCCAAGCCAGCCTACTCCCTTCTCCTTCCTCATGGCACACCCGCTCAAACCCCCCCAAGAGACACACCATTAACAGTGTCACCCCAGGGAGCCTGGGCTGAGATCCACTCTTTCACGCTCTTGAAGATGCATAACCCTCTTGGACGCCAGCAAAATCCACATGAGCTCCCTCGCTGGAGATCAATCTGCAAGAAGGCAGCAATCATTGGTACGGTTGCAGGTCGCAGTCACCTATGTGGGCTCTCTACCCCCAGGTGGGCAGCGTCCCCATCGCTCTGCAGTGTGGCCAGGGAAGGAGATGAGCCTCCCAGACCCAAGCACACCTTCCCTGCACCCCCAGACCTCTGCGTGCTGAGGCTGGTGACCAGGCAGGTCTAGCCACACCCTAGAGCTGCCAGTCCCAGACCAAGAGCAGCGTCCCTAGGCCAGAGAGTCACCGCCGCCCTGACCTCAGTCTCCTCTTCTGAAGAATTAGGAGCTGGGACTAATGGGAGGCTTGTCTTTCTGTTAGTTAATAGATGTCAGTATTTATTTGTATTCATAACAAATGGCTCTGTGTGCCTTGTAGGAACCACAAACAATGAAAATGTCGAGTATAAATGTAAAAACCAATAAACCTCAGAACAAAAACTAAGACACTTAAGACAGAAGGTTGAGGGGATCTATTGGAATCCACTGCACACATGCAAGACGTAACTACACGTAAAACTATCATCAGACTCCAGACTTCCTGGCGGCCAAAGGGAAAAGGGAAACTGGGGAGTCTGCTAGGGCTCTTTTAGCTCTGAGGGTGTTCTGATCCTTGGTGCCCTGAGGGGAGGGCCCAGGGCTCCACCCCTACGATGAATGCAATTCCGTGGAAAGGGCCTTGAAATTGGAAGGTACTCTAAAAAAGGTGACAGGAACAGGCACCTGCTGGCTGCTAGGCCCCCTCGGCCTGTTTGATTCCAAGTGTTTCTGTTGGGTGCTGGAGCTTGTCTAGTCTTGGGGAGCATCTGACAGAGGGGGACTGACTGCAGTGAGGCTGCAGGGCAAGTGGTGGCCCCCAGGGGTCATCCTAGCTGGGTGGGCTCACCAACCGGCCCCCTCTTGCCTAAATGGCTGGGCAGATGGTTCCTGCTCTCTTCAGCAATGTCCAGGGCTCGGGCCTCATTGGGGGTCGAATCCCTGTTCTTCCACTCCTTAGCCACAGGGCTGGTTAACTTCGTTCAGAGGGAGGGGATTAACACTCTTAACTAGAATCATTTCCCAATACTGCAAGGCAGTTCCAGGGCTCCAGGGTGAC